AAATAGAAAAGGTCATAAGCACGCTCAGAAAGGGCGATTGCTACACAATGGATGTGGGAGAAACGGCAAGACGCCTACTAGATGTACACGTTCCAGATGACCGAGCAGAAGAGGGACACACCCAAACAGTAAGACATCAGGAAAGAGGCAAGTATAGCGCCAGATACGGCCGACGCCCCATTCTTCACAGGGCTTGAAGTGGCCAGGGCGGTTAAGCGCTTCAAAAACAAGGCTCCAGGGATGGACCTTGTTGAGAGTAATATGCTGAAAGCGGTGTGTAAAACAATCCCAAGCCAAATAACAAAGTTATTTGATGACTGTCTCCAATGGGGAATTTTTCCCTCGATATGGAAGACCTCTTCGGTCTTATAGGTCGATCTGTCTGCTATCAGCTATTGGGAAGCTCTTTGAGAAACTTCTAATGTTGCGCCTAACGGACACGGCGTTAGCGCCAGATAGAATTTCCGATCGACAATTTGGCTTCATGCCAGGAAGATCGACTGAAGATGCAATTGTTGAACTGCGCCAAATGGTTTCCAGGGCAGAGGACGGCTATGTAGTCGCTCTGCTCTTCGACATATCGAGGGCCTTTGACAATGTCTGGTGGCCCTTGGTATTCCAGGCTCTCAAGGAAAGGGAATGCCCCCGAAACGTGTTCGGGGTGCTCCAAAGCTTCAAGGATCGACAGGTCGTAATATCAAGTGGCGAAATCGCTATATCCAAGCGAGCCACACGAAGATGCCCGCAAGGTTCGGTGTTCGGACCAGGTGGCTGGAACCTTATGTTTGATGGACTACTTAAAGTCCTAGATAACGTTGTAAAGGACCAATACATCGCGTACGCGGATGATCTTCTGGTCCTGGTGACTGGAAGCTTCCGGAGAGAGATCGAAGTAAAAGGCCAAAGGGTAGTCAACGAGATCAGTGAGTGGTGTAGGATGGCCAAACTCCAAATCTCGGAGCAAAAGACTGAGGCTATCTTGCTCAGGAGCAAAGAGATCAGGAGGGCCCAAACAACAGCCCGCCCGGGCAGGGTCAGGCAAGGGAGAAAGAAACTCGTAGGGTTCGAGAGCAGGCCGCCTATCATTAGGCTGGGAAGCTCAAAAATAAAATTCAAGGACTCTGTCAGGTACCTAGGGGTACATTTCGACAAAGGCATGAAGGTTAAGACCCATTGCCGAGTCA